AACAACTCACTTTTTCCATGTGCAGCTCTATTGAGCTTGTTCCCAGTGGTCTGCAGGCACTGTTCTGGCTAGCTGGCCACATCTTCCAACACTTCTGTTAAGCTGATGGAAGTATTTTTAAGAAAATTTTAAGAAAATTATTCCCTGTCTACATTGTTTCCAGTGTTTGTCTCAAGAAGTATAAAATACATGGTCATAATATTGCCAAATTTGGAATGTTGAGTAGTGGGGAAGAACATTGGCTTGTGCATGTAAGTAGTGTAACTAGTGGTAAAAAGCTTTCCCAAAAAGAAGCAGATTTGTCTTATTTTCTCCAGAAGTTGTCATTAGCAATGTAGCTATTACAGCATGCTTAGGCTGTTATTCTTAAGAGCTGAGGGACTGTTATTTCATTTCTTCTTAAATAATGTGACTTGTACCAAGGCGACCTTGTTGTGCATTAGTAGTTCATTATGTACTGGCATTGAACAAAGTCCCTTTTGTAGAACTGCATACTGAAGAAAACAGTTATGATTTGGTTGTCAGGCTCATTTGAGGCACTTGAACATCATACCAGTACAAAATTATACATAAAGTATATTTAACAAGTTCTGCTGCATTGAAAAATAATGAATCTAATGAAGTAATGGAATAAATATTTTTTGTCTGCCAAAGGACACTTATCTTTATAGAGCATGAACCCTTCTAGAGTTTTTGAAACATGGTAGAATTGCTAATAAATGTGCTGTGACAGTAAGTATCAATTTGATGTATGTATAATCAGATGTTTGGGTGCAAATGGACTTGGGTGCTAAATTCTGCTGCTCTCCAGGGCATGACATTGTCCTGTGCATTACTGAAAAAGAAGTTGGTATAACCTCCAGAAGCCTCTGCTAATCTTAATCTCAGGCCCTGTGGATGACAGATACGTAGCTGTGCTGCAGTGCTGCTGCAAACTGGTAGTGGGTCCATCTGAAGCAGCTTTGTCATCAAAAATTCTGTGCTTTTTTCATTATGTGGTGTTAAATCTTCTCAAACAGAGGATGTTTGATCTGATCTTGCATCATTCGTTGCCTTCCTTGATTACACATGATTGCACAAACCAGAAATGTCTTGCAGGATACCTGCTGTAGTAGCAACAAATGCAGGCAGGCGTTGGGCAAGACTATTGATTTCATTTCTTTCTTATCTGTTGGCATCAGGTGAACTCAAGAAACGTGTTATCTTCTGCAGAGGTATTCAGATGCTGAAAGCTCTGCTGCTCGTGAATTCACAAATACATGTTTTTTAATTATCATAGGTACTAATGAACTACGACTTTTGTTCCAAATATAAAAATGGTTATTCCAGAGTAGTGGCATTGTACTTGAGGCTTAAAATCTAGCTGGAGTGGAAGGGATATCAAGGTTTCATATCCGTGGTGTTTGTATGCACAAGAACACATCTGATTATTCTGCCTGAAAAGGAGAATGAAAGACTTTACAGTAAACTTGAATTATGTTTTCTTGCTCTCTTTTATTGCAATGGCAAGTGCATTTCAGCTGATGGAACGTCACACACTTGATGCTGAAGCAGTGAGGCAAAGTTATGTGTTATCTGGGAGGGGAGGAGTTGCTGTTTCAGGACTCCAAAACAAAATTGCTAATTTTAGACTTGATATGTCAAACTATAAAAAGGCAATAAAAGCATTTAATTTTCAATTTACACTTTTCTGGATTGGTTTTAAGGTACATATTCTTTTCTTACCTAGTCAGTTGTTATTTTTTTTTTTTTTTAAACATTTTAACCAAAATATTTTCTGTGTTAACTTTGGGCAAGTTAAGTAATAAAGCTGCTTCTTTCCTACAGGAGCAATAGATTTTCAGATGAAAAAAAACATAAAAGTGGGGCATAATAAATCATAATAAATGCAAGTAAGAAGTAAAAAGGCGTAGGTAAACAATTTCAGCTCCTAGTTTGAGAGAGTAGATGAAAACCTAAAACATCCAGTGATGAGTAACATGATCCATGCATAATAAATAGCAACAGGTAAAGTGTGACAGTGCAGGTGGTTTTGTTCAGCTCTGAGCTGGTGCATGCTGAGAAGTGACTGGTATATAAGTAGGGAATACTTCCCAAGGTCAGAAGTTTGGACTTAGTTGCATAATACTCACAGAGGATGTTATTGTTATTTTGCATGGTAATTTATAATTATTTCTGAAGTGCCACCAGCCAATGCGTAGAGATGATAAAAATATCTGAAGGAATTGAGTGATGATACTTGTGCAGCTGTGTGATTAGTCTGCTGCTTCAGCCGCTCTGGTAGGTACGACAGAAAGCTTCCTGCTAATTAATGAAGAATGACTCTTTCATTGTAGCGTGGCTCATATTCTTTGTTTTATGATGGATTCTGCTTTCCTTCATGTTTTCCCCCAAAATTATTCCCTGGTGACAGCAGCCTTCACTGTAATCAGTGACGAATACCCTCAGCTGCACTGAATGGCACCTCATCTCAGACTGTAGAGCTGCAGTGGGTCACTGCATGATGCAGCACAGCACGGTGTGCTTTCTGAGTCCCAAACCTCCCCACTTGCTCCCAACCCCATCCCGTCCTTCCCGTGCACTGTGTTGGAAGCACAGACAGCTGTGTTTTTAGGCAGGTGTGGTTGCAAGGAATGAGTGTATGTGCTGAGAAAGCAGTGCTAAACCATCTCATCGTAAGTGCAGAAATAATAAATGTAGGTTGATCTGAAAGTAATGCCTCCTACTTATTGCCATGGAAATAGCATTACTGTGCTCTTTGTATCTGTCGTTATTCAATAGAGCAAATTCTCAGCTATGAAACAGTCTTTTTCACCATAGTCACCAGCATTTGCTGTGCATTTTTTGCCAGCAATGAACCTGCCTGGGTGCCATGCTTGTAAAAATCTGCACCAGCGAAGGTGGCCCATTGTTTTACAGCTATTATGGTGGCAGTGTTTCTAGGAAAATGTTGCCCACACAGTCCAACTTCCACTGTGCTAACATCCACTATTTGGTCTCTGTAAACATCAGGAAGTGTCAGTGAATGTCAGCGGCTGCTGTTTTACCTGCACGTAGGAATTCAGTGATATGCCCATGCCAGACACCATTTTGTCAGAGTGCCCCTCTGCTGCCATTTGTTACAAGGCAATAAAACATAACAGAAGATTGGTGGGAAGGTTCAACCTCTACTGCCATCCCACCAGCATCCGCTTCTCATGTTGTGGGCCAGCATCGTAACATAGGAGGCATTACTTTTGGAGCAGCCCTCATATAAGATTTACAACTCACAGTGATTAAGGTATAAGGAAGGTGAAATTCTATCTAAATCCTTTTTATGCATTATATATATGTGTGTGTGTATTGTAAATGTTTGCATCCAAATTGCAACATTATTTTCATCCTAATATGGAATAGAATCCCTTTTCCCCTGGGATGTGTGCCATCAGAAAAAAGGTTTATAATCCAGGTAGGGAAAATTCGTAAAGGTGCAAGTGAAGGTGGTGTTGGAAATCTCTGCATATTAATTTCATTTTGACTGGTGTTTCCCAACCCACCTTCCTCAGCTCCTTTTGTGCCCTGTTGTGGTGAGGGCAGTGGGGTGCTGTTAGCTCTTAGTTCCCCTCTTAGTGACTTGGTGCTAGGAAGGGCTGATGAATTTATATGGGATATTTATATTAATAGAGGGGAGAGAATGATGTTTAGAAGACCCGGACAAATTCTGAGGCAGGCTGTTTTGATCTCCCAGTGAAATCAGTTTAGTTGTGGTTGCTTATGAACTCCAAAACACGTCGAACCAGAAGATCTGAACTCATTATGTGAGGGAGGACATAGGTCCTTGAGATGTACTTACAGAGAAATTCAATTGGAAAGCTGAAAGCAACCCTTTTAAGAAACCCTCTGTGCAGTAACAAAGAAAAACAGAACTATATCTTATTGTGGCAGCAAATGTATTTTTTTATTTTTTTTTTAATGAAGCATTGAAATTCTAATCACTCTTGTTCTCTGTTCAGACTGCAGCAGCTGCTGCTTTTCAATATTAAAAAAAATTATGTTTTGGGAAACAGCTAGTGTTGGTCAACTCTGTAGTATGATGCTTGTTACAGAGATAGCCTTATCTTAAAACTTCTCTACCTTTTTGAGCATCTCTATGTATTAATATCCTGTAAAAAGTTAAAGGAAAAAAGCTTTTTTTTTTTTTTTTAGATTACTAGCTGGCTTATTACTGTCTGAATTTTTTCATGTATGGCTTTACTGTGATACGATTCATGGAAATGCTTCTTGGGGTAGAACTTCGGTGTCAGTTTGTATTGATGATCTAGCTTTATTTAAGGTTACAGTGGAGCCTTACTTTCTTAGTTCTCAAGTCACTGGTTAGAGTGAACGTTAATTTAAAGTTAGAATAAATATTGCTGCTCTACAATTTTGCGCTTATGCATTGCCTGCAGCATTTGGTTTCACTCTTACACAGTTTAACATGATCACAGAAGACCAAAACCAGGCAGAGTGCCGGGTCGGTGTGCAGAGAGCAAAGTGCCTGCCCTGTCCGTGCTGCAGGGCAGTGCTGTGAGGGGCTCTGCCCACAGGGCTTTTTTACCCTCAAAAAGACATATCTGCTTTTTGAATAGCTGTGACATGAACATTAATTTACAGCTGGTTAGAGGAGCTCAGAGGATCTTGAAGCTATTTTCATCAGAGCCTTCATTTCAGAAGAAGCAGTGGCTTAAAGACCTATTTTTAAGTTATGCATATGATTCCAGTTAGCAGAGTTATGGTGATATAAGCCTAACATAAGAGCAAACTTATCCATAGGATGTGTTTAATTAATGTCTTGTAAATAATTTCACGTTAGTCCTAGTTCTGTCATCCTCTCTTGTGTTTAACAGCCACTTCAGCAGCCGGTCCAGGAGATCTCAGAACCACTCTGTGTCCTGACTGACCTGATAGCAGGAGTTAGCTTGAACCTCCTGTAGGCTGGGACTGTCCTGTCTCCTAACATCTCACCTTTCCTTCTAAAACAGACCCTGAGAGCTCACGGATGAAGATGAGAAGCACTGTATCCGTGCGAGAAGGGCAGGGAGTGGTGCTGCTCTGCGGAACGCCGCCCCGTGCAGGAGGTAAGGAGCACTGGGAGCTTCCAGAGACAGTGGGTGAAGGTGGGATGTCCTGTGGTCACAGCAGGAGGGTGGCAGGCAGCTCCATCAGGGAGCAGCAGGGAAACCTCATCTCCTACGGAGGGAGAAGACAAAGCCAAAGGAAACGAGTGCAGGAGGAAATGGAAGGGCTTGGCCAGGAGAATGTTCTCCTAGCTTGGGATGCCTTTCTAGTCCTCAGTGATTTCTGTGCACTTAACTTGTTCAATTTTTATGATACTCTGGCAATTAGCTGAGTATCTTCTAGAGTTAAGTTCTGTCTGATTTCACGAGTGCTGAGCCTCAGTGAATGTAGTTTTTTCTATATCCACATAGTTGCAAAGTCCAGATTGTTCTCTGTAATTATTCTACCCTGTGCATGTATTCCTGAAACTGAAGCATTTCGTAGTTTAATGCAGTATTTTAATTGCAGATATAATTAAAACACTGCTGTCTTGAGGGGAAAACTGTATAACGGATTCTTTGTGGGCCAGAAGTTGAGTGCGTTTTATCATCTGTTATCTTCTGTCCTTGGTAATTGCTGTTGAGTTTTAAATAATATTTGGAAATAACTATTTCTTTGTTTTCTTTTATTGATAAGTAGTCTCATTATTGAAGGTCAGCGATGTTAAACATTAGACTTAATTGCAGAGACGAGGTAATATAAACTAAACATTGTGAATACGATCACATAGGTGTTGTGGCCTCTTAAATTTGACAGTCAAAGCAGACAGAGCCATAAAGTGACATTTTACAACTGTCTGAGCTTGCAGAATTTTCCTCTTTCCAAACTGATACGTACTCTTAAATCATCTTTATAGCTTTACAACAGCTTTGTCTTTTAGCTGCTGAGAAAATGGGTGATTCCCATGGCTATCTGTAAGAATTAGGATGATTAAATTTTGCTTCTACATGCAGTTCAAAGTCTGAATTACTGTGGCTGTTCCCATACTTGCGTCCTAAGCATGTACACACACAGAGGTGCTCACCTGACTGCAGTTCAGCACAGTGGATGTTGGAGGCATTGAACAGGAGGTGACACAAAACATCTCATGCTGCTTAGGGCCGTGGCTCACACTGACACGTGAAGGAGGTGAGGGTTCTTTTGCCATCAGCAGATGGGGTATGATTGACACTCCACACTAATTGTGTTATTCATGCAAAAAAGAGAGCACTGAGGGCCCCATGAATTATCAAATGGAATCGAGAATTGGTATGAGAATTATTTAGAATCCTCGGATTTGTGTGGGAATTGAAGCATTAACCATTAAAGTTTTCAGAAGACTTGGAACAGGAAGAAATTCTTCCTCATCTTTTTTTTTTTTTTTTTTTTTTTTTTTTTTTTTTTTACTGAACTGAACTCACTGCACGGTGATGTCAGGCATTTAGTGACTATAGATCTGGCATGATACAAATTGGTTGGTCTTGGATAACATTGATCTATTAAGTGGTAGCTCGTTAGGAATAGCTCAAACAACAAAAAAAAAAGTGGTGAGAAAGCCAAGCAGTGTTTTTAAATATATATAAAATGCCTGCAAAGAGAAATGAATGAGTTCCCCATATCTGGGAGGAAATATTTGCGTTTATTCTGGCAGGAAAATACAGTAATCTGAGTTAGATGCTGGGACCAGATTGGTGCAGATTATGGAGCAGTGGCAGTGATTCACTGATTTACTGAGGAGCTGGCATGAAACTGAATAGCCATTAACTGTTGTTGGTGGCTGCTGGTGGTGTTTCATTTTGTTATTTCATTTGTTTTAAAGAATGAGTTAAATATCTGTCTGGGGTGGTTTAGAAACAGCTGACTGCAGCTCTTTGGGGTTCTTTGCTGGTTTGTGGTCTGATTATTGTCTGATTCTGCATTGGTTGCACTGAGAAATCAAATTCAAGTGTACAAATTCTATGCAACAGTAGTTCTGAAAGCTCTCAAAAACCTTGTTCTCTCTTTGCCACTAGCCCCAAAAATATTGTAGCATGGGAAAAAGACACTACTTCCCTTCTACAATTTGGCATATTTATGGCTTGCCTCAGCTACAGATGTTAATAAGACTAATATGAATATCCTCTTTCAAAGAGGAGCAGTTTTCTTGTGCAGTTAATAGTACTTTTGTCCTTTCAAAGTTTGCAGTTTCACGAGGGTATGGACATTTACCATTTAAACCAGCAGTGAAAGTCTGTTTAACTTTCACATTTCAGGATTATGTGCTGAGCTTGGATTTTTGCTTTGTATCTCGTAGCTGTTAGTGTCTGGGGGGAGGAGGAGGGTGTTTGGTACTTCTGCTGAGAATGCACCAAATGCCTTCGTATTCTGGTGGTTAAACATAAACTGCGTCACAGAAAACTTCAGTTTTTTCTTACGAGTTTTGCTGCATTCTCCCTTTTTAGCATTTCCCATTTTAGCTGTCTTGTTTGAGATTTACTGGAAGGGTGACTCAGTGAGTGACCAACTTGTAGAGACATCTCCTGCCTTTGTGGTGTTTGGGGCTTTTTGTTGTTGTTAGAGCTCTAACTGAATGGAGATACGTGTGTAACTCAACGGTAATTATTGGGTTTGGATTTCTAAGTGAAAGTATAGAAGAGTATTTAACTCATTCTTTTTTTTCCTCTTACTGGAAGTGGTATTTGAGCACTGATTTTTGGATGATTAAGATGCTCGTTGTCCATTGTTCTGCAGAAATGTGACTATTTTTGGACATAATTTTAATTCTGTCGCAGGAAAACTATTAAAGTACTTTTATTTTTTTTTTTGCAAATCACCAAATTGTCACCCCAATATTCTAACAGTAATATGGCATCAGAAATTGATTTATCTAAATGCACTAGATGTAGATACTGAATTGTTATAATTCTTACCTTCTACTGAGCTCTCTATAGCTGTTCAGACTTTCTACTGTGCTACTGATGTGTCTTTGATAGTTTTAAAGGAGTGCTGGTAGAGCAAACATCTCAGTGTCAGATATTAAATTCTGTGTGTTAACATGCAGCAGGTTTGAAAAAAATATCATGCAATGTTTTTTTTTTTTTTTCCATTCTGCCAAGAAATGAAAAGACCAGACATATGGAGATCTAAAAATGACTTTGCTACTGATTTTGTTCCAAAACCAGCAACTAAGAGCTGACAAAGCCCCAAGTAAAGCAAATCTGGAAGTTCCTTCAGGGTATTCCCTGGTATTGCTGCTGTGTGTGTGCCTTGCTTATCGTGTAGTTTTGTCTTCCAGTATCGTGATTGATATTAATATGACTTCTATTTGATTAGTATGGTCACTGTTAGCAATTTGGCAACAGTTTTGTATTTCGGAGAACATAATTAATTTGAGATGTTTTGAGTGTTTTGAAGAACACAGTGAGGCATAGGCTTGAACACAGGCAGATGACATTATGATTTCAGGGCTGCTTTATACATAGAGAAAAAACTGAGTCTGAATTGTAGAAATGAAGGCTGCTTTGATGGTTATTTATACTTTCCAAGAACTTCAGGCTTGACTGAAAAGCTAAGCATTCATTTTATGTTGGTGGATGCAATAAGGGGTATGAACATAACCTACAGGATACGTTGTGAAGCCAACAGGGCTTACAGCTCTAGGAGGAAATTTGCTGATTTTGTGTGATATGTATTACTATTTCATTCAGTATGTCAGGGGTATTTCTGCATGAATAAAGAAGCAGAGAGGTCCTCCATCTAATATCATGACAATGCAGATTTAATTGATAAATGAGACCATATTTGAATGATAGTGATCAATCTAGCTTATGCCTTATTATTTCAAAGCTGTGACATATTGGTTTGAAACAATATTAGGTCACTGAAAAATGGATCCCAATTTATTGCTCACTGCTTGGTATGACAAATCATTCACTGAATAATGTCATGTCTGTTGCAAATTGGTATTTAGACTTGCAGATTTTTGCTCGTGTCTCTGTATTGCCATTTGGAGACCTGCATGTTCCAGCAAGGCTGTGCTTCGTGAATAACATAGCATGGAAAGTATCTCAAACACCAGAAATATTTTGATGCTTTACTATTTTTTTTTTCTTTTCCACAACTCTTGAATATCAACGTGTGATTTTTGCAAAGAACTAAGGATTGAGTTAATTTTATTGGCTTTGGAAACATTTCATATCTTTAAACAAAGTAGAATCAAGCTATAGAACTCCAGAACATGGTTTCTTTCCTCCTGCCTATCAGTAGATAGTAGAACGTGCAAAACATCCTATTTTTGCACACTTGCTTTTTGCTTTTGTTGCAGATTGTGCATGACACTTGCCTGGGCATGAGCAATCCATCATGCTTGCAGTAGGCACATGATGAGATTTTTGCTCAAAAGTGCATTCTAAGGAGAATAGTAAGTTGAATATTGTAAAAGCAATGGCCTAAAAAATTGTTCCATGGCGTTCTCGAGCTGTTCTCAATCTGCCAAAGAGAAATGGTGTTTTTATTTAAAAATATATATTTTGCAATATTCCTACTGGTGTCGTCAGCAGCAGCAGCACAAATTTCAGCTGACAGTTTGAAATCAAATTGCACCTGAGAGACACTTATATTTGCCCATACAAGAGACAATAATGCATGTTCACAGCTGGAGCTTACAATGATTTCTCTCTGACAGAGCATTATTCTCAGCTCCAGTAACAAACCAGTGCTACGAAGAGGCACTGTCTCCGTGTTCTATGCTTTATCTAAGCAGTGTTCTAATGCACCTTGGTAAACCTGTGTTCCAGGCTTAAGTAAAACAGGCTGGAATTGTTATATCCTTATTGATGTATTTGTGCAATATCTGCAGCTGCTGTACACAGTATGATTTTGAGCTAGTGTGAAAGTCTGTAAACTAGCGTGAGAATCTTGGTGCAGAACATGTAGGATTTGTTTGGGAAAGGGCAAACTAGATGGCCTGGAGCTTTTCTCTAACTCCTTGTATCATTAGGAATGAGTGCTGCTTCTCGGTGGGGTGTTTGTTGGAAGATGGGGGAGATAGAGAAAGGGAGAA